AAGGTCAAATGTCATTTGTTTTGCATCAATCTTGATACAGGGTACTTATTATATGTTATAGTTTGGATTCCTAAAGCTTTTAGTCTACTATCCCATCATCCAAGGGTAGTTTTCACTATAAGGAATGGTTTATTATACACTATAATTTACATTTTTTTACTATGTTCAATCTGAATTTACTTTAAAATAAAAAACATCTATATTGATTCTGACTCTTCTACATCCAACTCACAGGTTTATCATTGCTTTGAGAAAAAGGATTATTAATGTACCCCTTTTAGAAGTGAAGATATGGTCATTTGTTCTGGTAATGTCATTTTCGAGCCTGAGACCTGAAAAACAGGCTTGGGGCTCAACAGGTTAAGAGGTCGAGACCAAGTCAAGACCAAGACTTTAAGAGGTCGAGACCAAGTCAAGACCAAGGTTGCGGTCGAATACTCCAAAAAAACAGCTCCTAAGTTCTAACCCTATCGTCTATTCCTTGACCTCTGAGTGAAAGGTCACGGGGTTAAGGGATAGTGGATAGGAGAATTCAAAAGGACTTAGGAGAAGAGACTGCGGCACTTTAGAGAATCCGACTGCACTTTCACTATCCGACGTGTTTATGATGCGCCAGCGGAGGTCATAAATGTGCGCCTGCTGCTGTGGGGAAACTATGGAAACTACAGTTTTCTATACAGCGGACTACAACATGGATGTTTAATAAGAACGAGGGACTACTGTAAACTCATCTAGAGACTCTGCACCGTGCTCTGATGCTGTTGTTTTATGCTTTATGAACGGGGACAACAGAGAAACATATTCTTCATGACCAAAGTTGGAATTGAAATAAAAAAGGAAAGTGAAACTTATGCTCGTCACCCTCTCCCTCCGGTCCACATTAATACAAATGATCCCAATACGTATGATTGTATGAAAAGATCTTAAAATCAATACAAATGTATTTATTATAAACGTTAGTCCTTAACATCTATCACTGTGTATATCACCATTCAAACATCTTTTAAAAGTTGAACAAACCCCACACAGCTCAGTAAAGACTGTGAAATGTTGACTTTATTTGATCATTTCAGTAAAAACTAACGTTCATATTTCTCTTTTTGATTATAATACTGATGAACGTTCAAAACAAAGCACTTTGGCAACTTACCACATACGTTTTAAAATGCTTAATAAGCACCGTAACTTTCATGATATCATTTCTCGTTCATAATCGGTTGTTTCCGTGAACGGCCGACTGTTGTGTGACGGCAAATGCTGCGGCTGCAAGGCATTGTGGGGCAGCATTTTCTCCTCTCCTTTCGGTTAGGGAGGTCCAGTGGTTCCTAAGCTAAAGGAGGTTATAAAGGAAGTTTGAAACCTCCTTTCCTTTCATTTAGAGAATTCGAACGGCACTTATCATGGCTGCCACTGAGGGACTTCCGGGTCATTTCACTCCGTTAGGAAGGTTCCTAAGCTAAATGGACTATTCGACTTCAGCCCAAGACTTTAAGAGGTCGAGACCAAGACAAGACCAAGACTTTAAGAGGTCGAGACCAAGACAAGACCAAGACTTTAAGAGGTCGAGACCAAGACAAGACCAAGACTTTAAGAGGTCGAGACCAAGACAAGACCAAGACTTTAAGAGGTCGAGACCAAGACAAGACCAAGACTTTAAGAGGTCGAGACCAAGACAAGACTTTAAGAGGTCGAGACCAAGACAAGACCAAGACTTTAAGAGGTCGAGACCAAGTCAAGACCAAGACTTTAAGAGGTCGAGACCAAGACAAGACCAAGACTTTAAGAGGTCGAGACCAAGACAAGACCAAGACTTTAAGAGGTCGAGACCAAGACAAGACCAAGACTTTATGAGGTCGAGACCAAGACTTTAAGAGGTCGAGACCAAGACAAGACCAAGACTTTAAGAGGTCGAGACCAAGACAAGACCAAGACTTTATGAGGTCGAGACCAAGACTTTAAGAGGTCGAGACCAAGACAAGACCAAGACTTTATGAGGTCGAGACCAAGACTTTAAGAGGTCGAGACCAAGACAAGACTTTAAGAGGTCGAGACCAAGACAAGACCAAGACTTTAAGAGGTCGAGACCAAGACAAGACCAAGACTTTAAGAGGTCGAGACCAAGACTTTAAGAGGTCGAGACCAAGACAAGACCAAGACTTTAAGAGGTCAAGACCAAGACAAGACCAAGACTTTAAGAGGTCGAGACCAAGACAAGACCAAGACTTTATGAGGTCGAGACCAAGACTTTAAGAGGTCGAGACCAAGACAAGACCAAGACTTTAAGAGGTCAAGACCAAGACAAGACCAAGACTTTAAGAGGTCGAGACCAAGACAAGACCAAGACTTTAAAGGTCCCATGACATACTTTTCCGGTTATTACCCGTCCCCTTGTGTGTTATGAAGGTTGTTATGCATGTAAACGGTCTGCAGAGTCAAAAACCCTCAAAGTACACCCTGTAGCGAGTAAAACTCTAACACAGAAAATACCTGCCTCTGCTGCCCCAGAACGCCTCGTTGGAGATTTTTATTTTTCTTCCTGGGTACAGTGACGTGACCATACCCAATTGGTCCAAATGGACCAATCCGCGGAGCCGTTACGTTAAGACCGCGGATTGGTCCAAATGGACCAATCCCGGACTTCCTCACACACACACACTCAATCTTTTCTCAGCTGCAGCTCCGCAGATTTCTCAGCCTGAGACGGCGGGACGCAGCGAGGCTGTGAGTCTGAGTGTGAGCACACACACAGACTCACAGCAATAGGTTAATCCAATGTGTCTGTGTCACTTTGAAATGATTTCTGATAATCCATCAGCAATAAATCTAGTTTTCAGTTTTCAGATTTCAGAACGTAAGATAGGTTTCGCTTTGGGCAAACTGCGTGCGCATAGCTCTCACTTCTCAATGGTAACGTGTGTGTGTATGTGGAAATTCCCCTTCGATTCTATTGGCTCGAACGGTTCAAAAGAGATGTCAATCATCAAAATCGACCAATGGGTTCCAGAGAAACGCCAAATCGACCCATTTCCACCCAAATGTTTTTTTCTTCTAAACCTCTCTAAAAAGGTCAAATGTCATTTGTTTTGCATCAATCTTGATACAGGGTACTTATTATATGTTATAGTTTGGATTCCTAAAGCTTTTAGTCTACTATCCCATCATCCAAGGGTAGTTTTCACTATAAGGAATGGTTTATTATACACTATAATTTACATTTTTTTACTATGTTCAATCTGAATTTACTTTAAAATAAAAAACATCTATATTGATTCTGACTCTTCTACATCCAACTCACAGGTTTATCATTGCTTTGAGAAAAAGGATTATTAATGTACCCCTTTTAGAAGTGAAGATATGGTCATTTGTTCTGGTAATGTCATTTTCGAGCTTTTTGATTATAATACTGATGAACGTTCAAAACAAAGCACTTTGGCAACTTACCACATACGTTTTAAAATGCTTAATAAGCACCGTAACTTTCATGATATCATTTCTCGTTCATAATCGGTTGTTTCCGTGAACGGCCGACTGTTGTGTGACGGCAAATGCTGCGGCTGCAAGGCATTGTGGGGCAGCATTTTCTCCTCTCCTTTCGGTTAGGGAGGTCCAGTGGTTCCTAAGCTAAAGGAGGTTATAAAGGAAGTTTGAAACCTCCTTTCCTTTCATTTAGAGAATTCGAACGGCACTTATCATGGCTGCCACTGAGGGACTTCCGGGTCATTTCACTCCGTTAGGAAGGTTCCTAAGCTAAATGGACTATTCGACTTCAGCCCAAGACTTTAAGAGGTCGAGACCAAGACAAGACCAAGACTTTAAGAGGTCGAGACCAAGACAAGACCAAGACTTTAAGAGGTCGAGACCAAGACAAGACCAAGACTTTAAGAGGTCGAGACCAAGACAAGACCAAGACTTTAAGAGGTCGAGACCAAGACAAGACCAAGACTTTAAGAGGTTGAGACCAAGTCAAGACCAAGACTTTAAGAGGTCGAGACCAAGACAAGACCAAGACTTTAAGAGGTCGAGACCAAGACAAGACCAAGACTTTAAGAGGTCGAGACCAAGACAAGACCAAGACTTTAAGAGGTCGAGACCAAGACAAGACCAAGACTTTAAGAGGTCGAGACCAAGTCAAGACCAAGACTTTAAGAGGTCGAGACCAAGACAAGACCAAGACTTTAAGAGGTCGAGACCAAGACAAGACCAAGACTTTAAGAGGTCGAGACCAAGTCAAGACCAAGAATTTAAGAGGTCGAGACCAAGACAAGACCAAGACTTTAAGAGGTCAAGACCAAGACAAGACCAAGACTTTAAGAGGTCGAGACCAAGACAAGACCAAGACCTTAAGAGGTCGAGACCAAGTCAAGACCAAGACTTTAAGAGGTCGAGACCAAGACAAGACCAAGACTTTAAGAGGTCGAGACCAAGACAAGACCAAGACTTTAAGAGGTCGAGACCAAGACAAGACCAAGACTTTAAGAGGTCGAGACCAAGACAAGACCAAGACTTTAAGAGGTCGAGACCAAGACAAGACCAAGACTTTAAGAGGTCGAGACCAAGACACTTTTGTAGACAAACACACACAGGATGAAGGAAAACTCTTTTTTTGGTCCCTGAAGGCCTCACCCTGCTATCAGACAGAATATTAACAGTTGTTGGTCCCTGAAGGCCTCACCCTGCTATCAGACAGAATAATAACAGTTGGTCCCTGAAGGCCTCACCCTGTTATTAGATAGAATATTAACAGTTGGTCCCTGAAGGCCTCACCCTGCTATCAGACAGAATATTAACAGTTGCTGGTCCCTGAAGGCCTCACCCTGCTATCAGACAGAATATTAACAGTTGTTGGTCCCTGAAGGCCTCACCCTGCTATCAGACAGAATAATAACAGTTGGTCCCTGAAGGCCTCACCCTGTTATCAGATAGAATATTAACAGTTGGTCCCTGAAGGCCTCACCCTGCTATCAGACAGAATATTAACAGTTGGTCCCTGAAGGCCTCACCCTGCAGAAACAGTCGATTTCTCCCAGTCTCCTCTGAACCAGCTTCACCAGCAGCTCCACAGGAATTGGCTCAGTGGGCGGGACACAGCGAGCCTGAGCGCTGAGCTCTGATTGGTCGCTCAGTAGACTCTCTGAGGTCACATGCACAGCTCTCAGGTCAGCACTGAGCCGCTCGGCCTGCAGGAGAAGCTCAGAGTTACCTTTCTTATTATTATTCTGACATCTATGTGTGTCAACGTTTAATAAAAACATGTGTGTGTCTTTACACACTCCACACACACACACTCCACACACACATACTCCACACACACTCAGACTTTTTTCAAAATGTCATGTTTTTCTCAAATGTTCCGACTATTTTTTCAAAATTCTCACTTTTGTCTAAATAAATCTCCTTTTTTTTCAAATTCCTGACTCTTTACATAATTCTCACTCTTTAACAAAAATATAATTTTTTTGTAAAAATCTCACTTTTTCCATATTCCTTAATTCTGACAAAATGCTCACATTTTTGAAAAAAATCTCAATTGTTTTCCCTTCAGTAAAAACATGCTATTGATGTAACTGGTAACTGTAATGGATTACATATTTAAAGTAACCCCCCGCTCACCATGGTGTGTTTCCCGACAGCAGGAGGACCGAGCAGCAGCACTCTGGGGACTGAACACACAATCACTTTAATATGAAATATATAATAAATAACAACGTCCCTTCTTAAGCTTTAGTGCTCCTTATATATTCACACTGTATGCATTGAAGTTGAAATCTAAGAGGTAATGTTCTGTAAGCTGAACTCAGGCAGAGTCTCAGCGCCATCTAGAGGCTGCAGAACTCATTGAACATTCACATTCAAAGAAAAACTGTGACATTTTGAAGCTCAAGTCAAATTCTGAGGGAAAATGCTAAATTCTGTAAAATAGTGAAGTAAGGAAAATAAAATTATGAAAAAAAATCTAATTCTGAAAAATAAATAGTAAAAAATAAAACAAGTTACAAATAATAATAAAAGTTTGAATGAAATCTTCAAAAAGTATATATACCTTCTTCTTATTGTGCTGATTCTCTGCAGTGTGTGTGTGTGTGTGTGTGTGTGTGTGTGTGTGTGTGTGTGTGAGTGTGTGTGTGTGTGTGTGTGTGTGTGTGTGTGTGTGTGTGTGTGTGTGTGTGTGTGTGTGTGTGAGTGTGTGTGTGTGTGTGTGTGTGTGTGTGTGTGTGTGTGTGTGTGTGTGTGTGTGTGTGTGTGTGTGTGTCTCACTGTCCGTGCTGCTCCTCTGCAGCAGAGCGATCATGAAGCTCAGAGCGTCAGCAGGCTGCTCCACCACCAGGCCGGACAACATGCTCTGAGGATACATCGTCACATCGTCACATCGTCACATGGCCACATCGTCACATCGTCACATCGTCACATCGTCACATCGTCACATCGTCACATCGTCACATCGTCACATCGTCACATCGCCACATCGTCACATCGTCACATCGTCACATCGTCACATCGCCACATCGTCACATCGTCACATCGTCACATCGCCACATCGTCACATCGTCACATGGCCACATCGTCACATCGTCACATCGTCACATCGTCACATGGCCACATCGTCACATCGTCACATCGTCACATCGTCACATCGTCACATCGTCACATCGTCACATCGTCACATCGTCACATCGTCACATCGTCACATCACCTGCAGCAGGTGGAAGATGTTGTGTTTGTCGGCGTAGACGGACATTTGAGGAGGAATCCTCAGAGGCTTCACCGTCTCGTCCATCAGGAAGGATGCTTTTTCCCTGAACAGTGAACGCATCACATTAAAATCACTGAAATCCACCTCATAAATATATTTATACTGTGTATTATTGTATTGCATGTGTGGAGAATGTGTTCTGTGTTTGTGATAAGTGGAAAGAGGGGGTTCATATTGGTATCGTGCTCCTTCTTCACTGGGTTACCCTGTGAACATTACATAAATATATCTTTTTTCAAAGAAACACTGACATCTCTGGGTCTGAGAAACGATGGTGCGTTCATGGCCCTCTGACGCGGTGTGCAGCGAATGTATCAAGGTTACTTTTTGGTTATATCATTTAATAAATTGTTTAGATATCTAACTACTAGCATTCAAAATGTTCCTCAAGTAAAAGTAGAAGTACTCAGATCTTGTACTTGAGTAAAAGTAGAAGTACTCAGGTCTTGTACTTGAGTAAAAGTAGAAGTACTCAGATCTTGTTCTTGAGTAAAAGTAGAAGTACTCAGATCTTGTACTTGAGTAAAAGTAGAAGTACCAGATCTTGTTCTTGAGTGAAAGTAGAAGTACTCAGATCTTGTTCTTGAGTGAAAGTGGAAGTACTCAGGTCTTGTATTTCAGTAAAAGTAGAAGTACTCAGGTCTTGTACTTGAGTAAAAGTAGAAGTACTCAGATCTTGTTCTTGAGTAAAAGTAGAAGTACTCAGATCTTGTTCTTGAGTGAAAGTGGAAGTACTCAGGTCTTGTATTTCAGTAAAAGTAGAAGTACTCAGGTCTTGTTCTTGAGTAAAAGTAGAAGTACCAGAGTGTAGGAATACTCTGTTACAGTAAAATTCCTGCATTCAAAATGTTCCTCAAGTAAAAGTAGAAAAGTATTCTCATCAAAATATAGTGAAAGTAGCGACAGTAAAAGTAGTCATTGTGCAGATTGGTCCATTTCAGAATAATATATATGATATGTTTTATAATGATTGATCATGAAAGTGTTCTCAAAGCTGGTAAAGGTGCAGCTAGTTTGAATGACTTTGTATACTGCAGGGTAGCTTGTGGATTTACTCCAGGTGGAACTAAAGTCTGATTTAACACTTGATTATATTTCACATCATTCATCCACATCTGTGAAGTAACTAAAGGTATTAAATACATGGAGTGGAGGAAAAGTACACCATGTACCTCTGAACTGTAGTGGAGTAGAAGTACTCCATGTACCTCTGAACTGTAGTGGAGTAGAAGTACACAGTAGCATAAAGTGTTTATGATATGTCTATATCTAGCGTTGCAGCAGGTATTTCCTCCGTGGTATTTCTACCTAAAGCTTCAGGAACAGAAGGAAGCTGTATTCTGTGGAGCTGAAAGGTTCTTTCTGACTCTCAGTAACACGTTAACTCTCGAGGAGCAGGAACATTCACATATTGATGAAACAGCTGCAGGTAAATATCTGTTTAAACCCATAAATATAACAAAGTAAAAAGCTTCCTACCTGTTTAACGAGTCGGTTGCTATGAGAGAGTTTGCTTGTTGTTAGGGAAGGACGTAATCAACGCGCGTGAGGGGCAACGGAGCCGCGCAGACGTTTGGTTAACGGACTTTACTTTTTTTAAATATTAAAGTAATATAGTAAAATAACTCCCTATAAGGAGATATAAAACACCTGCTATTGTTCACTAACAGGAACATTTTGAAATAACCGAAAAAAACAAATGTTCAAGCAAGTTTCTCTCTTCTAAAGAATGCACACATGTGTTTAATCGTTATTGTCAGATATGTACAAAGTAAATACATTTGTTCCTGCTCAAGATTAGATTCAAGTTTATTGTTATGGCACAGATTACAGGTACTGAGACAACGAAATGCAGTTTAGCTTCTAACCAGGAGTGCAACAAGCAGTAAAGTGAAAAGTAATGTACACAATCTACAGAATAAAATATAGAATGAATTGAATGATGAATAAACAGTGAGGGGTATGAATACACTAGATATACACAGTAGCCTATGAGCAGTGTGAGCAGTGTGTATGAATACACTAGATATACACAGCAGCCTGTGAGCAGTATACAGTGTGTATGAATACACTATATATACACAGCAGCCTGTGAGCAGTATACAGTGTGTATGAATACACTATATATACACAGCAGCCTGTGAGCAGTATGAACAGTGTGTATGAATACACTAGATATACACAGCAGCCTGTGAGCAGTATGAACAGTGTGTATGAATACACTAGATATACACTCTAAAAATTGCTGTGTTATTTCTGTAAACACATTGCTGGGTTGATTTGGCTGGGTCATAATTATGGGTTATTTGGGTACTGTAAACACACTGGTGGGTTGTTCATGCTGGGTCAAAGGGGTTATTAGGGCTTCAATTGCAGTTGAACACCTGCCTGGGTTATTTTTAACCCAGAGGTTGCTTTATTCATTTTCCCACTTCTGAATCATTCTGGAACCATCTTTTTGTCATTTCTCACATCACAAGGTATGTAACCTATATTTTATCACTATATTTTACCTATATTTATATAATTATACAATTCTGTAACCTATATTTTTTTAATGAGTTGTGATAACAGCACAATAGGGATCTGTATTAATAGTAATATGGCATTTAACAGACTATGCAAAGTATAACATTAGCAGTTAACGTCAGCTACAAATGTTTTACATTTCTGTCAATGCTATATCATTAAGTGAAAGAGCCTTGAATTTACGTTGTGATGCGATGAATTATTATTTTACAAAGACGTTTGTTCTACTACGTCAGGGTCCAATAATAATAATAATAAATCGTGAATGATTAAAATGTCTTCATGGAGAGATTGTTCTTTCGTGAGAGTGAGCTCTATCACTGGTCTGCTTTTATATTGCTTTATATTCGGCAGTGGTTGCGTGCCTAAAGTAGCATTCTTTTTTCTTCTGTGAGTCGTTTCATTCTATTGTGTGTGCATTTTTTTTCTATCTAACATAGATTTGGCAGACCCCCTGTAGTAACTGTACATGTGTAGCTTGGTACCTTACAATAAATGTTAAGACATTGCACAGTTTTGTGAAATTCTAATGTACTTAATCTGATTTCATTCTAGTAATGTGAGGGTTTCACCATGGACACGTTTGTCACAGAGACGTTGACTGCATGGCAGCTTGAGAACTTGATTGACACATTTAAAGGTAAGTTCATTTTTATTGAGACAATGTTGAGATGTTACTATTAAATATTTTGTTATATATTAAAAAGAGGAAGGCCATATCCAGTTTTGATACTAAATATTCTCTATTTTCACTAGGTAATTAACCACTTAAACCCTATGGATTTTTCTTTTAATCTCAGTGATGCAAATTAGTTGCTTTTCGGCGCTTCCCGCTTTTTTAACGCTGATTTGGGTGACTTGTGTAATTCGTGGAGAACCGAAGAGTTTTCGTTTTGGGGGTGGGGGGGAGTCCGTCCGTCAGTCCGACTGATGGACAACTTCTCACTTCAAAAAAGAAGAAGAAATCTAGACCGCAAAATAATTATACAAGCGAGTGCCTGTTTTTCCTGGCCAAGGACAGGTTCATTGAACACAACACGAGCGTAACGTGTCTTCACGTGGTATATGTCTCGTCTGAAAGGAGTGTAGACTAGAGTGCTGACGGAGAGCACCGGAACGCCGCTCCAGCTCTTCAAATATTGCAGTGCCAGTACCCATAAGGAGCCGTACACATGCCGCAGTGTTTGCGTGGCTGTGTCTTTAGTTGTAAGCACAGTGGCGATCTGTTGTTATTAGCATCTGGTTAGCTAGCTATGCTAACGAATTTAAAGAGCTTCTCTACAACCAGGTGGAAGAGAGCTCTCTCCTGAGAGGCTCAAATAACCTCAGCTCAGTGAGGTTAAGGCACACCTTGATATGATCATTATAGTTATTAATGAGACATTAGAGACTAAATTAAAGTTTGTTATGACAGTAACAAAAAAGTTGTTAAAAATAACAAGAATAGAGTTTAAAAGGTGAGTGATTTGTAAAATATCCAAAAAGAAAAATCTGCTTACAGTTCTGTTTCATATGGGTGTTGAAAGATGTATCCATAGATCTCTTCATTTTGCTCTCAAAGTGCACCAGATTGATGCTTTTAACTTAAAGGGGACCTATCATTCAAAATGCACTTTTGTGCGTCTTTTCTACATGAATATGTGTCCCCGGTGTTCCAGGGAACTCACCAAGTGTCAGAAAACACAACCCTCTCTATTTTCCTCCATACCCAAATCTCTAAAAAAGGGGCTGCAACGGATCTGATAAAAACTGATCCAGATTTGAACACTGTCCTGACGTCAGGACGGTGGCGCTACGGCTATTGGGCCAACTCCACCAATCAGGAGGAGACAGCCACGGCCATTGCCGTTCGAAAGCGCTGGAGACGCTGTAGTACATATGCCAGGCCTGTAGATGGTGCTGTTCTCACTGAATCAGCCCTTGCACAAACAGAGCTAAAAAATGTCAAATTGAGCGAAATGAGGCATGGCTAAAATGCATGATCTGTTTGGTATTTTGAAAAAAAAAAAGTATAAATATGCCTTATATAGGTATGGTCCTACACTATATTATTCAAATATAGCATGATAGGTCCACTTTAAATATTTAAAAAATAAATATCTTCCCAGGGTAGCATGCCCCCGGACCCCCCTAGAGGAGGTTACTTAAATCATGTTCACATGGATAGGATACTAAATACATTTGCACACATCTTGTGTCCATATCTTTCTGTTTTGGTGGTCATGCCACAACCGAGCACATGCATGCATTGCATGTGCGAGTCATGGTAAGATATCTGGATTAAGAGGTTGCTTTTTCTTTGCACAGCATGAAAGAAAGGCGAAATGAATGGGCTGTGATTTTAGTATTTTTAAGCAGAGGTTGAGTTCAATAATTTGTACGGCCCTCGGAGGATGTTGTAAAAATTGAAAGGAAAAAGGTTCCCCACCCCTGCTGTAAATAATAATAAAAACCCTTGATTTATAACTTAACATCTCCGTCTCCTATTGATCTGAGTATATTATAAAG